ACTCTGACAGTAATAATGTCCAGCATCTTCAGTCTGGACTCCACTGATGGTCAGAGTGAAATCACTGTTAGATCCACTGCCACTGAATCTAGATGGAGTTCCTGACTGGAGGGTGTTTGTTCTATAAATCAGGAGTTTAGGAGCTTCTCCAGGTTTCTGTAAGTACCAGGCTAAATAATCATCAGAACCATCATTGTACACATCTGTGCTGGTTCTACAGTTGATTTTGACTGTTTCTTCTGGTTGAGCTGCTGTCGTTGAGGGACTCTGAGTGACGCTGATCTGTCCTCTACTCTCTGAAACACACAACAAGAAGAAAATCAACTCAAAACTCTGACAATATACTTGAAGAAATTAATTCATATCAAACTTGTGCTCCACAAACCTTGAGCAAACGCTGTGAGAGTCCAGATGAAGATGATGATGAAGGTCATGTTGATGAAGATTGTTGTGTGTGTCAGTGATGAAGTGTTAAACTCACAGCACTATAAACACTCTCAGAGCACTGAAGCATCTGATCAATATGCAAACACTCCACATCATTTACCTGGAGACAGTCGCTCAATAACAGACACAAAATACTGTTACTAATTAATTTTTCAATATGATATCTTCTAATAGCCAATAAATTATAAATTATATCGGATCATTCACTTCTGAATAAATCTACAAGACCAACATTAGTATATTATGTCTCCTGTGATAAATTCAGTTTCATGCTTTAGTAATAACACAGACTGCATAAAGCAGATGAAGTAACTGAAGGTAATGTCTGCTGTGAGTGGATGTGTTTGTTGGAGACTCAGTTGATGTGTGTTTGTGCAGTTAGTGTGTTTATTCATATCAGAAATGTTATGCTCTTTTAATAAAAGTGACTATCATTGAGGTTAATAATGAAAATGTCTCTTCCAATCAATATATGTTTCACCAAACTTTCATTGCTTTGCTGATCACAGGCTTTGTAAAAAATGATTTAGGTGACAGTTTGCAGTTTAAAATTATAAAAATGACTAATGAAACTATCACTGTATTAATTGTTCATATATTTTTATGAAGCTGAAAGGAGAGAAATGCTTTCTTCTTCACTGAGTTGACTGTTGTGTGTTTGTCAGGCGTCACTCGTCCTAAAGTGAGCGTCCTGCCGCCCTCCAGTGCAGAGATCTCCTCAAAGAAGACAGCGACACTGGTGTGTGTGGCCAGCAAGGGCTTCCCGTCAGACTGGAGCCTGAGCTGGAAGGTGGACGGGAGCAGCAGGTCTCAGGAGAGCAGCGCTGGGCTCCTGGAGAAGGACGGTCTGTACAGCTGGAGCAGCAGCCTGACTCTCTCTGAGCAGGAGTGGATGGAGAGCGTCTCAGTGAGCTGTGAGGCCACACGGAGCGGCCAGCCTGCGCTCACTGGACACGTGACGAGACAGCAGTGTTCAGAGTAGATCTGCTGCTCTTCTCACTCATGTCTCACATGGAGACTAACAGCACATGAGCGACTCCTTCATTCTCCACATCCAGCTTCAGTCGCTCGCCTCTGCATCTGCTCTGCTTTGTGTGCTTCATACAAGACTATATGTGTGCTTTATCATTCAGTCATGATTTTGTTAAAATTCAGTCAGTAAATAAAATTGTGTATTCCAGTTCCTTTGTGTAATTTGTGTTTCAGCTCTTTCATTGGATCAGAGCTTTAGCTCACGTTTTTAAAATAAACTTCACTCAATGGAGCATGAAAACACCTGCAGATTCATGATGAAACAAGAACATGCGGCAAAATTATAAACCTCACAGATAAAATTAAAGATAAATTTAATAAGATAAAGAATAGATTAATTAAGGTATTTACTATGCAAATGCTCAATGGATGTTTTTCATTTAATATCCATGAATATCTACTGTTGAGTGAGTGTTAGTGTTTGAGCAGCTGCAGCATCAGTTCA